TTGTTCACTTATGTTCAGCTCAGACTAACTTAAATTTAACAAGTTATACAGTTAAGCAAGAAGTCTTGCTTTGTTGGAATGGCCGGCCCCCTGTACTGTACAGAGACCACATTTTGCTCTAGTTTTTGGTAATCTCAGGATATGTGGGCTTTATTCCTGTCATCACTGATGTTAAAAATGCACTGGATTTCATTTTTGATATTTCTATCCTTAGGTTCTCTTGGTGGAGATGCCCATATCACAGGACGACAGAGATCCCTGACTACGACCACAGCATTCATTTAATTTTTTGTGGCTACAGCTTCACCCGGCGGTGATGATAGTGACTCTGAACCGAGTCATTACATCCTTTCCCATGGAGGCATTTCCTAATGGTAATTACGTTAAGGCTCTATGCCCTCTCGTGTATCTCATGTCAGATAGGGTATGTTAAGGCAATGTTTCCCAACCCAGTCCTTGGGGAACCCCAGACAGTCCACTTTTTGCTTCCTCTCAGCTCCCAGCCAATCAGGAGCACCGAATTCGTGGTACAGGTGAACTGGGAGCTGAGAGGAAGCAAAAACATGGACCGTCCGGGGTTCCCCGAGGACTGGGTTGGGAAACACTGTGCTAAGGTATACTTCATTATCCCCAAGGGGAAATCTGTCTTGTACTGTACACGTGTACGAGAACATCATCTGGTGGCTGGAGCACGACCGGGCATGGAGGGAATCCGATCTGCTGGATGTTTTCACTCAATGCGTTCCCCTACCTCTTCTGGATGAGGCCTTTCTCGAGAAGACTCCGCCCTTGTTTGGAGAGGTGCTGGTCCGAGTCTGGGCAAAGAAGGGGACGTTGTTTTGCAATGGTGACTGCCCGCAACGTCTGGGCATGACTGCGTCCGAGATGGTCATCGTCTTCCATGTGCCGCACAAACACTCAGGGAAGAAACAAACATTGCCTCGCCTAGACGTGGCCTCTGGGAAAATCTTCAAGCCGTGCAAAGCTGCCTAACGGCCTGAGGGAGGTCGGCTGGTCCACTGCAGCGGGAAGCTGTGCGTCTTGGGCGGCCGCGTGAATGAGGCTGATGGGTGTAACTCACTGGAGTCACTGGAGTGCTATGACACCAGAGATAATTACTGGACAGCAGTCTGTTGCCATGGGGTTTCACAGCACTGTGGAATATAGAAACTCAATGTATGTCCTCCAAGGTGAATCTGTTTACTGTGCTAGCTTTCCAGCAATCATTCATCCTTTTTTTTCTTCACACACACAGTTATACAGGTCCAACGTGCAGTGAAAAAAGCTAGCCTGCTCCAAGACTGCGGAAACAGATAACAAACTCTTATGTAGTATTATCATAACGATTTTTACATCCAAGCATCTTAGTCTTGGGTGTAGAACTATATTCACAGTATCTTGCTCATTTTGACATAAACTTAAATTCAGTGCCAATTAATTTGTATTTAATATAATGCAGAATAGTAATGTGATTGTAGTTATAATGCATAATTCTTCGAATATAAAATTTGACTGCTGTGATGGGGATCTCTAAAATAACTGAGTGAATTTTATAAAAATGTCAGCATTTTTTAAATCATGCTTTTATTCTCCAGGTAACGCCTGCAGATTGGAGCCTGCTCGTCTCTGATAACATTAATAATTATTGGAACGAGAGTCTTGTTACCCCATATTTCCTCCTGGGCATCACTCATTTGTAAAAAGATGAGAAATTACTTTGATAAATTGTAACGTGATTAAATCATATAGTGATTTAAAAACCCAGGTATGTAAGTCGTATTAACTGAACCTATCCCGGATGACATAATGGATTGTGTGTTTTGGTAAAAGTGCATAAATAGTGACTGTGGCTGTCTTGTTTTGCTGCAGGTGAATATTTTCCCTGCTTTGATCCTCACTTCAGGGGTTACCTGACCTCATGTGCCTGCCTATGAGTCAGGGAGTGGCAGCTCTGCACAGGAACAGCATTTATTACAGCATTTATTACAATGCGGGCATCTGCAGGAATCACCAGTGCACCTTCACAGTGGAAGCCTACGACATCGAGCAAAAGACCTGGATACGCAACAAGGACCTACCCTTTGAGCAAGACAGCAGTCCCAACATCGAAGCTGGCCTTGCTGCTGGCAGAGGCTTCGTGTGTTCCTTCAGACCACACAGGTGACCATGGAGGAGTGTATTTTCAGGACCAGCCGCAAAAACTCGCTCTACCAGTATGACGAGGAGGCAGACAACTGGACCAAGGTCTATGACACTCTGCACTGCCTCTGGGACCTAGACCTCAATTATGAGTGTGTCGTGGCCACACACACATTACTATTATTGATTGTTTATTATTTATGGCTTTTGTTATGGTCTGGAGGACAGTATATGTATGAATGTATAATATACCAGGTAGGGTGTATATTGTATGGTGTGATTCTGTTGAATGCAGTGTATGTTATGGAATGCAATGGCTTGGAGCCCAAGAGCCCATTGTCCCCTTGGGGACAATGACGTATATCTTACCTTACCTTACCTTACAGTACCTTACCTTACCTTGCTTGACATGCCATAGACGAGAGGACATAGAGCCTTAAGTGTATTAAAGAATCCTTATTGATACAATGGGGGCCTTTAAAACTCACAGTCTTTATTGTCCCCTATCTGCCTGTTTTCCAACCAGTTGTCATGAGGGGTTAAGGCCCTCCACATATTAGTACAGTTGTTGTGCTGGTGCTGACTGATAGTACAAGAACTCAAAATTTACTGTCTTAGGTTTGTGTTGATCAGTGTTATTCAGTACTGTACTGACAGTAAGCTTAAACAAACAAACAAAGCTTAAACAAATGGGGGCTTAGACTGGCTTTGATATTTTCTTTTTAATGTTTGCATGACAAAACACGTAGTGAAGTGTCCCAAGGTGAACGAAAATGACAATTGTGGCTTGGTGATCCGTTCTGAATGCAAGGTGGCTCAGTCTTACTGAAATATAAGTCAAACTGATTGATTTGCAGTCTAATTACTAGAGGATTCTGGAGGTTTATACTTACACTGTGCAAGGAGTCTTTCTGAAAACGTAAAAGAGAAAGTGTAACATAAATGCTCGGAATTTTGGTTTAATAGAGGGTTAATCAGCTGTACTTCCAGAATTCTCTGTTTCACTCTGAAAATCTGGACTTCATTCTCCATGTTGCTCTAAACATAAGCTTTTAAAGTTATGTTCAAGTTACCCAGCTTTCTGCACAGCTGGAAACGTGTACATTTGGGCTTTAATATCCTTCTCCAAGCAGACTTGTACATCCTCCTTACACATTATGTGCATTTTTAATTGCCAGCTACAGCATTAGTACCCTTTCGGGTGTTTGAACCCGTAACACGCTTGTTAGTTTGGATTTTGAATACAATAATGTATGAGAAATGGATGCATGATTATCTTCAGTTAATAAACATCATCGGCCATTACAAGCTCAATGGTTGGTCACTCGAGGTGGCGATTTCTTAAAGTCTCACTGACATAATCTCACCAGCCTGAACTTTGTCATACTAACACTAACTACCAGAAACATAAATCTAGCATATAGAATCTTACTCTCATGCTCTGTGAGAGAATTTTGTAATCTGTACTACCAATATAAAGCAAGAAACCTTCGTCCTCAGGGGTAGTAAAGTTTCACAGTGGCTGATTTTATAGCTGATAATATCCATCCATCTGCCTTATAACCAGTGGGGCCTGGAGCCTATGCCAGGCAGGAGAGGGCAGAAGGCGGGGCACACCCTGGATGGGATGGTAACTGGTTATTTTGTACATAAGTTAGGATGGATGGGTGAGTATACCCCCCCCCACCCCCAAATGACTTGAAATACACTGACTAGTCTGAACAACTAAATTGTAGGAACAAAATTGCCCAGCGCTGTCAATACACAGCACTGTATTAAGTGTTTTTTTTGGTAATTCGTTTCTCTCCACTATGTCTGCTGTACTTCCACTCTTTTACAGAATTATTCAACTTGAAAGTTTTTTTTCAACTATTGCTCCATCTATCTATTACATACATTAAGTGTGAATAGCTGCTAAATGGTTTTGCCCTGTTGAAATAACCTTAACATCTTAAATGAATACCACTAACATTGTAAAACATTAGTGACAACATATTTTTTTTCATCCATCCTTTTCTCATAACAATAAACATAAATTTCAGTTTTCAAACTTCATTCACAAAACTTTGACTTACCTTGCAAAATCAACTATTTATGATAATCACCATGTGGTGGTTGTGTTTAACCTTTACTGTGTGTCTATGTTTTCCATCTTATGTATTTGTGGTGAATGAGAATATGCACTGGGGAAGCAGGTACATAGTTTGGATGGATGGATGGATGTATATTTATAGTTTTGCAGACGGAGTGAATCAGATTGCAAATTGTGAATATCATTGTGGAGGCTTTCACAAACGAGTGATTGATTCAGTAATTGATATAGTTGTGTTCTGAGAATGCGGTTGAATGTTTTAGCAATTCAGAAAAAAACGGTAATAGACGCATTACACAATCCTTACAGAAAGATCCAATTGCCAGCATTTTTAAATCATGTTTTTCATGTAACTTGTTTTCTGTGTCTGAGAAGGTGCACCAGTGATGAAGCTGTAATGTGAAATCCGCATTGCGCATATTTTGATAATAATAAAATGTGCTAAAAAGGAAGTTGTATCCTTTAAATGTTTTTATTTCTTACTTGAACTATATTCTAACCCACTTTTTTGTGACCTATGTTACGTGTATAGATCGTGGGGTCGAGGCTTCGGCTGCCACAGCACCCGCTCCGACTGAAGAACGACTGAGAGTGCCTCCCTTTTGGGGTCAGACCTGCCCCTTTTCGATCACCGACGGTCACGTAAACTTTAAACCCCCTCCGCCCTGTCAAATTTACAAAAATGTACCAAAACAACGCCCCCCGCGTTCTAGTACCTGCCCCTTGCAAAGTCTGTTTGCCTCTGGTCGATATGTTACTGACGCCGTGGATTTGCAATACATAAACCACAAAAGTCGTTATTTCAGGGAGATTATTATTATTATTATTACACTACTATTATTATTGCACTACTACTACTACTACTACTAAGCATCTACTACTACTTCTACTAATAATAATAATAAACATACCTATACGTGTATCTATATATGAAATTATAGTAAAGTACAAACCAATTCAGCAGTAGCCTGTCCTGCTGCATGCCAAAGCCGATCGATCGATTCCTTGGCCGCCACGTGATTCCCATGAAAAACTTTGATGTTGTTCCATCCTCGTTGGAGCCCATTTCGAAGCAGCGTTTGGGATAGTGCACTGTTAGAAAGTGAGCTGAAACAGAGGTAAGCATCTATTCTGTCATGCCTCATAGTGTGGGATTTCTTTTTTATTATTAAAAGTAAAATAATACAACGTTAAGATAGATCTGCCTGTAATTTTGAAAGTAATTTTTTAATACCGATTATTCATTGATTGGTAACCTCTACAAGTAGTGAATGAGCATCCATTCATCCTTCAAGCCGCTTATCCGGTGCAGGATCACGGAGTGTTTATTATTTACTTATTATTATTATTAAGCAATAGGCACCATAAATTTACTTTTTGCGCGTTAGACACGAAAGTCCACCACCTATACAAGATCAAATACTGGATGTTTAGAGTTGTCCCGGAAACAGCGCAATCTATCGTATGTACTTACAGTTATACGTAGCCTAATCGTAGTTTTGGGAGAAAATCAAATACATGAAGTACAATCCGATTTATTCCCACCTCTTGGAAGTGAAGGATAGTTTACTGTTTAAAAATTCTCTCTCTCTCTCTCTCTCTCTCTCTCTCTCTCTCTCTCTCTCTCTCTCTCTCCCTCTCTCTCTGTGTGTATTTGCAGCTCTGGAAAAATTAAGAGACCGCAGCACAATTTTTTGTTTCATTCATTTCTCAATTTATGGGTGTGTGTCTGGGAATAATATACATATTTTTTTCAAACTGGCACCTGGGTCTTCTCTGTTTCTTATTAATGAAAGGATTCTTCCTTTCTTTATGGGACTTCTGATACGATCCTGATACGAACTGTCCTAGTGGAGCACTTCACACCTGCACTTAATGTTTTCTATTCTTTTTTGAAGGTTCTTGATGTCATACTACAATTCATGAGAAACTATTAGATAAGTTGACAGTCATCTCTGATGTCAGAAAGTCGCTTCCGCCCTCTACCTGGCTGGTTTTTGATCATTCCCAGTATCTTCTGTTTCACCTTGTTCATAAATGTGTTTAAAAGTTAAAATATGACCGATTATAGATTGATGATATTGCTTGAAAGTAATTCTGTTTCAATATTTCTAAAGGTTTACTACATAGGTCACTTTTAGAATAGGTTGAAAGAAAGATTATATACTTATACTTTGAATTTGAATCATTCTGATAATCTGGATTCTGACAATGAGGAAAATGGCTCCTTTCCTGTCGCACTAACTCACAGCCTGGACCTCTACGTCCATGGAGTTTGCATGGATTTACTCTTGGTCCTTGTCTTTGTGCTTTTGGCTTAAGCGCATTGGTATCCAGAATGACCTTAGTAGGGTAAGCATGGGGCAAACTGGCCAGGGCATAACCTGTGATTCGTGGAATAGCCTCAAGCAGAATCGGTCCTAGCCAGTGTGGGACCCTAGGTGAGTGTCACTGCCAGAGCCCCCCAACCGAGGCAGAGTGGGAATTAGCTGTCATGTCCACACCCCCCCAAAAGGTGTCACCCCAGGCAGCTGCCAATGTCATCTACCTTTTTTACTAACTTCTACACTTAACCTAATAAAACGTTTAATCATTTTAACAATATAAAGGCTTGGGGAAAAAATGCGTGTTGATGAGCTGCAGTATGTCTGAAGCCAGACAACCACGTATCTTCATAGTGTCCCGTTAAAAGCATTTCTAGGAGATGGTGGATTTGCCTCTTTATGGGAACCCAGAAGCATGTTATTTTCTACACAGCCATTGAGTCAGCATGCCTCCAGCGACTACCATGGACCGTGGCTGCCCCCCCCCAGATGGGGGGTGGGGCTGGGCAGTGGTGTTTGGATCTTTCATCTCTATAGGCTTCTCCTACGCCTTCCCCAAGGCCCTCACCATCTACTTTAAGGAGATCCAGGAATACTTTTCCATATCCTACAGTGAGATTGCTTGGGTGTCCTCTATCATGCTAGCAACTATGTATGCAGGAGGTGAGTTTTGGAAATTAACACTTTACTTTTGGATCGATAAAACTTGTGAAGAACTAATTTCAGATAATTTCACTTATTGTTTCAGAAAAGAATTATGTATTGAAATTTTGCCCAGTTTTTTGTGTTATTTGTTTTTTTAGACTAGTATCTATTCAGAATTCAGAACTGAGTTGAAACATTAAAAAAAAATTTACAACTAACTTTAACCAGGATAAAAATGTTGGTTTGGTTTATGTATGTCAAGGCCATTGTGACTGCAAACTGGTTTGTTGTCTAGGTGATAACAGGGAGTTTTCATATCACCTTTCCTTATACCATCTAACCTATTTGATAATAGTAGTGATGGCAGTTTCTTTTCCACGTTAGACCCTGGACTCAGAATATTTGTCACTGCGAAGACTCATTGTCTAAATCCACCATAAATGGTTTGTATATTCGTTCAATGTATTGACTAATGCCCACAATCTGTTTCTTGTTTCAGGACCTGTAAGCAGCATACTAGTCAATCGCTATGGCAGCAGACCTGTGGTCATAGCTGGTGGGATAATGTGTGGGATCGCTATGGTAGCTGCTTCTTTTGGCAGTACCATTATGCATTTGTATTTGTGCATTGGAGTCATTGGAGGTATTTACTATTTATTTTATTAATGATGTAATTTGTAGTGTAATTTTCAGCAGTTGTTCTCAGATTAGAACTTTTGTGAGAGATCCATATATCTATTCATCCACCCATCCAGCCACCTGTTCAGTAGAGGGTCACAGGGAGGCCTGAAGCCTATCATGGACACCATAGGGTACATGGTAGGGGGCAACTTGGGCGGGATAACTTTCATGAGGAATTTCTTCCACTAATGTTGGGCAAAATACAAGGAAATCTATATTGATTTTCCAAAAAAACGGTCCAGAAATGTTGGTACTTATGAGCAATTTAATTTATGATTCAGTCACTGATTGATTTAATTTATTGTTTTCTGACTTTTGTTCTAATTTCCACGAGTGCTATATCATTCTTGGAAAGAAGCCTACAGCTTTGCTCTTTTTGGTTTTGATAGGGTTGCGACACTTGGACTGGAGTTAGCATGTAGTAAAATTTAAGCAGGCATATTTCCTGCCTGCTTATTTACCAACAGCCTAGTGGGGTTGATGTCCTCTTCGCCTCGTCAGCAGAGCAGTGGGGTGACCACTGGCATAAGGACAGCAAGCTCAGTCACAATGCACTGTTTTTATTCTGCTCATGCTCTAAAGGTTTGAGAGGGACAAGAAATTTCTGGGACAATGCATTAAAAGAATATCTTCAGACACAAGTCTGCTGTTTTAACCTCTCTGCTGGCCACTTGTATGCTGAGTAAATGGTAACCCCTTGTTTGCATGGCCTTATGTCCCTTCAGATATGACCCTGGACAGGCTGTGATGTCAATAGTTGAGCACATGCACTCTGGGTGATTCTGAATGCCACTAATCATGATTCACTTTAGAAGGTGTTTATGTATCTTATGCATGTTATTCCAGAGGGGAGAAAAACTGATTGTAGTGGAAAAAATAACCTTGAGTAAAATATGAGCTCAAAAGCAGGTCCAACATTTAGCAGTGACTACGGTATATTTGTCCAGCACTTAGAAAATGGCACTTTGACCTGTGCCATGATTTGAACTCAGTTCAATCCTTTGTTTACCCGTTCCTTGCCACCTCTGCCTAAATTTATAGGACAGGCTACTCCTGATTTCTGGCAAGGATTAACAGTTTAACTTTTCAGAAAAATGTTTTACATGTATGTACAGTAGATGCAATGCAGGGGATAGGCACCGGACCCCCCACGACCCAGTAGGATATGCGGGTTGGAAAATGGATGGATGGATGGATGCAATGCAGGGGAAAAATATGCCTCTTACATGTATTTGGATGATGCATCACATTAACAGTTGCTTATTTTACATTGTAGGATTTGGCCTTGCTTTCAATCTTCAACCAGCCCTGACGATCATTGGGAAATACTTCCTAGTCCGGAGGCCTATAGCAAATGGCCTGGCTATGGCAGGAAGTCCAGTCTTCCTCTCTACCTTGGCGCCCCTGAATCAATTTCTGTTTGACAGCTTTGGATGGAGAGGAGCGTTTTTAATCCTGGGAGCTATAATCCTTAATTGTTGTGTAGCAGGAGCCCTGATGAGGCCCATTCAGGTAAAGCCTCAAGTTAAACGTGCAGAGGATTGTGACAAATCAGATGCAGAAGATGGGAGCAGCACTCCTGCGGCTGGTCTGCTGAGTGGACAGGAGCAGCAGAGGAAGTCTGGATGCTGTGGCAGAATTAACACCTTCATCGATCTTTCACTCTTCAAGCACAGAGGCTTCATCATCTACCTTGTCGGCAATGTGGTCATGTTCTTTGGCTTCTTTGCCCCAGTTGTCTTCCTTGCTCCCTATGCCAAGCATCTTGGTGTTGACGAGTACTCAGCTGCATTACTGCTATCTATATTTGCCATTATTGATATGGTGGCACGGCCTGGCACCGGCTTATTCGCCAACACCAAGTATATCAGGCCTAGGATTCAGTATTTCTTCAGCTTCTCTGTAGCCTGCAATGGCATCTGCCACATCCTGTGCCCCCAGGCCACAGGATTTGTGGGACTGGTCATTTATGCCATCTTTTTTGGGGTGGCTTTTGGCATGGTGAGCGCCTTGCTCTTCGAGGTGTTGATGGACCTTGTTGGTGCTCATCGTTTCTCCAGCGCAGTTGGTCTGGTCACCATTATTGAATGTGGTCCTGTGCTTCTAGGACCTCCGATATCAGGTAGGTTATAATGGGCAAAAAAATGCATAAATGTTACTGGAGACAAGACTGAGCAGTAGTTTAATGATTAAAAAATAGTCTTTGAAGGACTGTAGAATATTGTAAATGGGGCCCTGGACGATTCCTGGAAATGCTCATCATGGTACAGTATGCTGCTCCAAGGGGTCAACCTACTGTAACTGGAGCAATGAAACTGTAACAGTGTTTTACACATCTACCTAGAGGAAAGTTTCTGAGATGTACAATATTTTTTACAAATAAATTAAATGCCATTTGGTGGTTCACGTCTGTGAGCAATTATGAGGGATTCAAGTCTATAAAGGATGGACAAGATAATGTAATAACCTCTAAATAAAGAACAATGGATATGGCCTCATTTTGATATCTAATTTACCTTGAATGTCTCGGAGAAGAATATATTATCTGGATACTTTCAGGGACTAACCCTGACTACCATCTCTTCCATTTACTACTGCTCCATGTTCTTGTCTGTCAGAAATATGGTCCTTGCCCTATTGGACAAAGTTTATTACACAATTTTATAAATAATATATATTATTATAATAATTTAGTATCAATTGCCTGCAGCACTCACTAGTAGACCTCCTGATGGGATGCAGTATCAACACAGATTCCCAAACTATTGTCATTGTGGCAGAAAACATTATTAATGGAATTTCAGTTTGTTTCATCATTGTTTTTCTGCTGTCATTCAGGAGCCCTAGTGGACGTGTTCAAGGACTACAAATATATGTACTACGCATGTGGGGTTATGGTGCTGGTCTCGGGAATATTCCTCTTCATCATGAACTTCTACAACTACAGGATGCTGGATAGGGAGGAAAAGCGGAAGGAGGAGCAGGAGGTTGCTGTGAACATGAGTGCCAAGGAGATGTGTTCTACTGTTGAGAAAGGCAATCCTAGAGAGGAGAATGGCAATGAACTGGAAGGAAAACTGGAGGAGCTATCCTTCATGGAAAAGGATGAGTCACATACGGATGACATGCCGGCCGAAGACACTTAATGGTAGATAACCCCATCACTGGAGAGACTGGTTTTGGGTTGAATGCCTACCTGTCCCGAAAGCACCGATCGGGACTCCCTCCATTGGGGATGACTCCAGCTCTAGAGGGTTAAAGTTCTGATCATTTTAATGATTGTATGACTGAAATCATTGTCATTTATGGGGAGAGTCTCTGTGTGTCTAATGTGGATTTATAAGTAACAAGTGAAACAAACCATTCTGGACCTTGGAGACTTGGTTCATTTATGACAGTAGTTAGATGATCATTTTGCTTCAAGGAAATTCAAGGCATACTGTTTATGAACTCTCCATTTGATTGGATTTTATAAAACAATGAAGATAATGTAATAATTCACTAATAATAGTATGGCCTTTAAAAGATTTTATAGATTTAAAAAATCTGCCTGTTGATTTATGTAGTTGGTTAACAACATGGGTGATGCTCCATGAATATAAACTGAAATATAATTGTTCTAGTATGACGTTTTTTTTTTCCTTAAAGGCTGATTTTGTCATTAGGATTAGACTGCTTGTCATTAGCGACAACTGCAATGAATAAAGGTTCCAAGATATGTTGAACAGCCATTACTATTTAAGAATACCTTTTGGGAGGAATATCGCAACAGATAGCTAAGCATGATTTAACTGGTGTTACAAAACTAAGGCAAATTCTATAAAGTGTATCTTTCTAAAAAATATGTATAACTAAATTTCACAAAACTGCAGCTTCTTCTGGATGGGAATGGATGTGTTTAAGCAATAATCTGTCCCCTCTTTACATACTTATTCAACACAACGTAGTGGAAAATCCAGTCTGGTCTGCTTAACCAGCTCCAACTGGTCTACTCTACACAATCCTTTGAACAGGACATTGCTCTGTTTTGAGGAATAACCAAAGCAACAACTAATCCTGAGCCTTTCATCTGTCATTCCAATTATTCTGTCTACAGAAACCTGTCTAAAGAAACCCATCTCATTAAGTCTGTCATCTACACCAAGCCACATTCAATTACATTTTCATATGAGCTGAACCCTGGGTCTTTTTCTTACCAGCAGACACTAAACCACACAGCTGAAGAAACTGGCTTGGCTGATTTCACTCTATTTTGAGCTGTTAATGGTGGAATGAGAGCTAGGAAGTATATGTTCTTGGCCTTTCAAGATTGTAATCGAAAATCACCAGCTTCCAAAGATTTCAGAATGATTATACAATAGTGTATCCTTGTTGATATCCAGGTAATGCTAATGATCGCAGTGACTGTTTTCTTATAACATGACTTAGGTTGCTTCACTCTTAGTGAGAGTTGTTATGGGTAAGACTTTACTTGAGGGGGCACAAATAACGTTAAGCTACTACTTATGTATTAATTGACCACAAACTAAGTGTAAGTTACATACAGTACTGATATGTTTGTTCATCATTAATGAATCGTGACGCATCTTTTATGTCAAGCAGTTACTATATTTGTTACTATATCTGTTAATTCTGTAAACCTTTGTGAACTACTGAAAGAACAAGTAATGAATAACACAAATATTGATCTCATGTTTGTTCATGATTAATGGATCATGATGCATTTTTTATCTTGAGTATATGTGGTTAATATTTGTTCATGATTTGTACTTCAGTAGTTGCTACTAAGTATTTGTGGCCCATCAAGTAAAGTGTTACCTTATTGGGTAACGGGAAAAAAAACATTGCAGTCTGGGTAACTACAATAACCAGCTACAGTACAATATTTGGCAGATTTTCAAGAAATCTCCTGCCGCACTATTAGCTTGCACGTCAAAAATATTCCGAAATCCCACACCTGTTTATCCTTAGTTATGGCAATTATACCTTAGCTTTAACAAAAGCCATTATGTTGCACCCCGTGAAAAATGCAGCTAATACCACTTTGTTTTAGATAGACTAATGAGAATATAATGTTAAATATTGCATATGAAATATTGATCGGAACAGTGGAATAAACACATTCAGAATTCACTGTATAGAATCAGTGCAACATTGATGTTGCTGCTTTATTTCCTGAACCAGCCTGTCTGCTGCATGGATCTCTAGCTCTAAAATATGAAGCTTTATTTAAGCATGCAGTAGTAATGTAGGTGCATTAACTGCAATAATCCATCCACTGGCCGGCACTCATGAAGTCTAACAGCAAGCTGAAGTTAAGGGGGCTGTTGGACACATACAGAGGAAAGGTTAATTTGCACTTCACAGATGTCTAAAATAAAGCCATAATTACAACAATTGTTGCTTTAGGCTTCAATATTATTACAGTTTTCCCAGTATTCTATGTGACAAATTCAGTTAGATATTTTCCTGGATCAGTCAGGGTTACAGACCCCACTCTGCGACAATTTAGCCTGTCCTGCAAAGCCAGAATCTTTCAGGTTATGGCTCCCTGTCCGTCTCTAGCAGGTTTCCAGTAGTTATCAGCATTTTCAGTGAGGCCTTTGTTTGCGGGCCTCTGTAAGGATGTTGCACAGGGATGTGTCTTGATTAGTCTCAGGGAGGAGGGAACATATTGACCTCTGCTGTGCAGCAGCCGACTCAAGAAATGCACAGAATCTGTCACCTAGCACACTATCAATCGCTTCTCAGGATATGCTGCTTATCAAAGGTTCACATAATCAGTCCTTCAAAATGTAGGTGCTGTGAAAAAAAATGTGCTTTATGAAATGCATCTACAGTTGTGACAGGTTATTTTGGCTTGAGGGAATGTTTTTTCTATAATGTAGTCCTTGAGCTGATTTGTTGCACTTTAATTTAGGTTCAGTCTCCTTGCCAAATAAAAAAATAATGTGTATATGGCTAGAGGTGTTTCAAATATTTTACAGAAAGAAGCTCTGGTTTGAAAAGCTATGGATGTTCATATCCATTCAAAGAATGTTCATATCCGTTCATTCTGTAGTGCATTTTTCAGACAGGATCTGGAACTAGCTGGTGTAGGAGTACCTTGCCAGAGGAATAACAGAACTTAGAGAATGCAGAATTTCTGGTCATGCAAAGCTAATAAAGAATTTTTTTGGTCCTTCATACAGTACCTATAATTACCCTAACATCACATGGACAACACATATGATAATGTCTGTTCGTAAAGCCTCATATATAATAGGATAATTCCCTCATTGGTATTATTGTTAGGCTAAACTGCATTCCACTGGATGAGTAGTGTTAATTGTTCTTTATTGTGTCCATAAGGGGAAAAAGCCGTGTGGAGAATTTTAATCACACACACACGCATACACACACACACACACACACAGAGAGAGAGAGAGAGAGAGATGCACATAACTGGAACTTTAAAAAGCGATACGTGTATTTACAATTTTCATGTAGCACGCTGTCATATATGTATTTACATCAATGTTTTTTAAAAGTAAAAATGTATTTTATTAAAGGCTAGGGTTACCTTGGTTAAAGAGTATGCTGCTACTGTTTATTGTTTTGAATTATTATTATTATTATGTTCTTAAACCTGCATGGTAGTCAAGAGCAACCATATGCTAATGTTTACTGATATATTTAGAGGAAGGGAAGGGAATAATCAAATCAGATTAAATGATTTAACATTTCTTTAATTCATGGTGATTTCAGTAATCCTGTGCTGACATAATCACTAATAAACTCAAACATGAATAACATCCCAAGCAGTTTGTCTGTTGATCATATTCAAACACTGCATTTACATATTTTCACAAAGATTACACCAGTGGGAAGCTTACTGTTTGGTTTATTAAGAATAACCAACAGGGAATGGCTTGCAAAACCCTGCTCCAGTATTATATTTAACTAATTTTGTTCCTTCCATCCTGCAAAAAAGAAGAAAATAAATCACATTAAGAGCCTTTTTTTTCTCTGTTGCCACAACATTGGATGAAATAACCTTAAGAGAATAGAATTTACAATTAATAGGCTGCTTGTGGTTAATGTTACGTCTTGCTAACTTTATCCACCATTTCAGCCTTATGTGTTAATGTTCCCTAAATCTAGTAATTTAGGGGGGATAATCTACTTAAATGCTTTAATGTACATGTTAATCTGATACTGAGCTGCTAATAATACGCAATTTGATTTTTTAAACATCTTACCCTTTTATGATGCATCACAAATGGTTTATTCTCCTACAACTCTATTGTCCTACTAGTATTTGATTCTAACATCTGGGATATATTGAGAGGCTCCATGATCTGCCATGGGTATTTATGGGGGGGGGGGGGGGGGGGGATTCATGGGGGGGGGGGGGGGGTGGCATATCCCACCACAGTACTCCCCTAGATTCGGCTCTTTTGATAATATCGAGAGGGCACACATTGGAGGTGGATAGTTCAAAAATTCCAGACCAAGATTTTGTTTCAACCAACCAGTTGAGTATAAAGAGTCACAGTTACAGAGTACTGAACTGCTTGGTTGAAACAAAATCTTGGTCTGGAGTTTTACTTTCTAGGTAATCCACCTGTGGCACACATTTCAGTTAAATGGAAAAAAGAACTTGACACTGAAATGCAGCAAAGGTTGACCCTTTCTGTTTTATATAACAACAATTCAGTTGTTCCTGTTACTTTGCCAACAAGCAAAATTTGACCTTGAGGATCTTTCTCGCCCTGCGGTGTGTTGGTGACTGCCTGGGGTTGGTTCCTGTCTGCGCCCATTGTTCACAGTATAGGCTCCAGTCCCCCCCGCGACCCCAGTTGGGATTGAGCGGTTTCAGAATATGGATGGATGGATGGATGGAGGATCTTTCTACGATAACCAGGGGTGGCCAGTCTTATCTAGAAAGGCCTTTGGATATGCAAGTTTTCACTGAAACTCCCTCATTAGATTACTAATTAGAAGAGTGATTGGCTGAAGAGTCCTCACACCTGGGTTTGAACAGCTGACCTAAAGGTTATCCCAAAAACCTGCATATACACCGGCCCTTTGTGGATAAGACTGGCCACTCCTGTACTATAAAGATCCTTGGTTTTAAGTCATGGTATGTCTTTCTGCCAAAGATAATGATTAATATAGATAATAAAAAGAACAACAGAAAAATAAGAACATCCCACAAAACAGTGGTTGCTCTGGAAATGTACCCCAGGAGAAACAGGAAATATTATAGTGCTTTATATATATAAACAGTTTGTTTCAGAAAAACTCTTGTTTATGATTGAACACATTTAAACATATAACAACAGAATGATTTTACAATTAATCCAGTGTTCCCTTATTCTGCAGGAGGTTTTTCATTAATTGGATAAAGAATCTTATATACTGTAAGACACACAAATATAAACGTTTACATGTGTTGTTCATGGTTACTTTTTAATAAAGCTGATGCATATTTTAAGATATGGCCTGCATATTAGTTTTTGTTAAATTGGTTGCAGAGATGACTGTTAGTTTGTTAACATAACATAACCAAAACAACCAGACCGAGACCTTTGAGAGGAGGTGGTCTGCATCTGGTCCCAAACGAACTCTGGAGTGGTTTGTTTGTGGTGCAAGTGTGATAAAACCTGAAACTGACGCAACTTCCAGGTGTCCTCTGCGAGTTTGGGCTACAATGGCTCCCATTGCCAGGTGCGCTTTGCATTCTGGGATGGGGCAGAGCATGCAAACCAGTAGCAGGACATAGGTCTTACTTGGTCTAGCAGCAAGGTACATTGTCTTCTTGAAATCTGGGCAGTTGACTACATCTGTCAGCTCCTACAAACAACTAAAAAAAAGTTTTCAAATTGTTCAGCCAACCGCTGAAGAAGAGAGGACTTGACCCGGTCAACTGAACAGTGCTGTTGAGGCAACAATATATGAAATTGAGAGATGTGCAGCTGCATAGCCCAGGACGCAGGACCTTCTCCTGCTATTCACTTCCTTGCTCTTGCCACAGACAGATCCAGGGGAGTTTCTAGCTGTTGAAAAGATTCGGGGCTGGATGTCAAGTTTACCTGGAGCTGGGCTAGGCGTAAAATACGCCTAAATGATCGGACGTAGCGACGTTCATGGGCACATCTGACCAATAAGCAGAATGTACGTTCTCACATGGTTTGTAGCAGCACATTGTTGTATTGCTTGGATTCTTCTCTGTGTGAAAGTAAACCAAACCAAACTGAGGGGAAAATGCTACAAGTTTATAAACTCATCAACTGATTTAGACTAAACTGTAGGTGTGAAAACACCCTTAGTTTCAGTTTCACTTTTGCATTGAAAAGTCCACTTGGTGGCGCCAAAAATCTGCCAAAAAACCATCATCCTTCAAACTAAGGACTTACTGATCTTTTTTCTGTCCGTTTCCGGCACAAATATAACACACTATCTTGAATTTTAAGTTTATTAAGACAGAGCTGGAGGATGTTGTTGTGATTAAGAGCGTTGTAAAATGGTTATTTGATATATAAAATGGTAGAAATAACTGACAGATTTGAAAAAAAGTATAGATTAAGGAAATTCATTTTTGCGAGACATTAGCACTGATTCTGTTACCGGTATTTAGTATAATCTTGGCACCAAACTGACAATAGCATACCAAAACTGGATATCGTCAAGGGACGCATTTTCTTGTGAGATGCTATCTGAAACGGCCAGCCTGCCATTGAAAGTAACAGTGATGGACACACAAACAGGCTAATTCCGCAATCTGTATCTCGGGGGGATGAGTATGGAGACCTTACACAGCTCTGAAAACATGCAGAACTTTAAAGAATGAGAAGCTTTTCAGCAGAGTCCAGCAGGCCCTTGACCAGAGGCGACTTGGGTCATTACAGCATTACAGTTCTACAATTTATAACTCAAAGCCTAGAATGAATAACAAGGGCTGCTCCCAAGGTGATAGCAGCATGAGCGCATCAGGGTGCCAGACTGACCCAAGACAGAACTAAACCGAAGAACTGTTTTACATAGTCGGGAAGTGACATATTCTTCCCACATACTTATCCTTCAAACATTCTTTAAAATTTAGACATATCAATAAATATTCCACTATTAGTTCATAGATAGCCAGATAAAATGAATGTCTTCCAGTGCTGATTGGGCTAGCAGAAATGAAGGATAAATGCAAAGTTTTCTCCAGGGTCCAGAACCTCACCTGTTCAGAATGCAACAGTGGCCTTATATAAGTATTAACAGATTGCAGGTTTAGTGTAGCTGTTCTATACAGGACCCTGTCCTTGCCAAGGCTGTCAGCATCAGAAAACTCAGAAAAGGCTTTTTATCACCATCGGGGAAAAAAAAATTATATACTCCAATAGTTCCTTTTTAAAAAGGAAGATTGCTTCTGCCTTTGGACAATGGTGACGGAATGACTCATTGACCTAGTCAATAGAAATGTACGACCATTGCCTCTTATTCCTGCAGATCTTAATAGTTTGATTCGGAGCAGTCAGTGAAGACAGAGGTCCCAATGTTACAGGCTGCTGCTTCTCTATTGGAAAACCACAGTAGCTCATAGATTTGTGTGCTGTTTTGGTGAGTGTCAGAACGTGTCGCGTCTGGGCCTGTGCATACTTGTGTGCATGCAGATGCTTTCTCACTTAGTGTGTGGAGAGTCTCAGGTTCCCCCTTCATCAAAGTACAACTACGTATAAATTAACCCAATTGTACATGTCTTGCATCGTTCCCTGAACCCACTCTGAGTGACAGCTCCAGACTCGCAGGAAGCATTGAGTGGGCCTGTGGTCCAGGTGCAAATGAAGAAACTGGGGGTTTCTAATTAATGACGGCCTCTATGAGCCCCTTGTGATCCCTGTGAACAGCTCGCTATTATGACATTGATCAGTGTTGCGAGTGACATCCTACACGAAGGCGACCTGACCTGATTAATTCCCAGGATGCTCTTATTTTCACACCATACTAGTAATGGCTGGATTTAAAACCAGTTCTTACACACTCCTATAGGCAGATTCAATCTAACAACTCAGCCCTGACGTGTGGAGAGGAAACAGACATGGAAAGTCATTAGGAAGAAGAATAAATGCAAATTCTCATATATATATATATATATATATAGCAGACACACTTGTGGTATAGATTTTTATATTGTACCTGAAGTAATCCAACTCTACCTGACCAGATGTGTGACTATTAATAATCCCGACTATGTATCTGTGCTGGATATCACCGGCACGCCACGCACCTTGTAGGCGGAGCCTGCATGTCACACACACGCGCGCACAGAAGGGTAAACATATCCTTATGGGGACCGCTCATTCATTTCAATGGGAAAAATGCTAACGCTAACTATGACAACCTTAACCCCCACCCTGCCCTAACCATAACCATAAGTAACCTAACAAAATACAAGAGTTTTTGCATTTTTAGTTTTTTCATAGCAGTCACCGATTTTTATAAAATAGAATTTTCCCTTATGGGGTCCAGGAAACCGGTCCCCATAAGGGAAAAAAAACGGATATTTAACACGTTATGGGGACATTATGTCCTCATAAGGATAGGTAAACCCGCTCACACACACAGACACACACACACACCACACGCTGCCCAGGCAAAAAAAAAGTTTCCATTTGAATTTATATCAGCAAATACTTAAGAGCCAATGACTGGATCATTATTACAGCTCAGCGATGTTATGCAGCAATAAAGTAAAGTTAGCTGAGTACCTGAATCTACTGAATGGCCAGGTTACACCTCCATCCATCATCAATGGATTCTTTCTTCCCTGTTGGCATGGGCATATTCCAGGACAAGAATGCCAAGATTCAATGGGTTCGATTGTCAAAGAGTGGTTCAGGGAGCATGAGGAATCATTTTCACGCATGACTTAGTCACCACAGACTTGTGACCTTAACCTCATTGAAGGTCTTTGGGATGTGCTGAAGGA